CCCAGCAAATTTGGTTAAATTATCCTAGATTTTGGGCGAAATTGCCCCAGGGGGAAGTTAAAATGTCCCAATTTATTTAAAATGATTAAATATATGCCGTAAATGCATATTTTATGTCAACTTTGATATTATATTCTTCATATCGAAATTATTAGGAAGTAGAATATTTCTGATAAATGTTCCCTTAGTAAACTAACAACAGCAACATGAACACTCCTGTATAGCACACTGTAATACAAATTATTGTGCACGTTGTTAATGCTTTTGTAAAGAAGTACAAGAATTGATTAAAATGTTTGTAGAATATGTTTACTGGCCATAAATGCCAATTGTGCTGCCCAGGGTATTTTGTAGCTGGGGCAATTCGACTGGTACCCTTCTCAGATACCTAGTTTGCCGACTTTTGTTAAATGAACCCGGGTCTTTTGCGTGACCAGCGACCACTTTAGCCACTAGGCTATCCCAGCGCCCCCTCGTTTATATATATATATATGTGTATATAGAAATTGTTACACGAGCATGTGTGTCATACAGACAGACACTACTTTATTACCTGAAAAGGAACTCGTTTTGGATCACGAGTGTGACATTTTGTATTCCACAATTTTTCACGAGGTTAGTTTTTAATTTCCAACTTTATTCATCTTTAACATAATTATAAAATGTTTTCGTCACGATATGGCTGAAATATTGCCGATGTGACGTTAAATATTAACTCACTCACGCACTCACGTTCAATTGTTTAATGACGCGCCACAGCCGACGAAATACAGAAACAATGGTTGCTTGGCAAAAGGGATATGTGCACATATGATATAATGACACTGGTTATGTTTCACCATATGGATACTAAATTGTTCATACGTCTTTGAAAAACCACATGATCTGTACACTGACATGTGAGGTGAGGTGAGGTGAAATTAGGTTTTACGTCGTGCTTGAGAATATTTCGCTCATATGACGACGTGCATGCATGTGTATGTGCGGCTGCTTGTACTAGCCCAGACTTAAGCTGGTTTTATAGTGCTAGCCCACTGAGATACCATGCCGCAGTGAAGCATGAATACCCCCACAATCTCATAAAACACATATTCTGTGCTTCCATGGCTAATACACCCCGAAAATCAACTATTTGTGGAGATCTTCAGTCTGTTTTGTGCAAATACAACCTTAGAAACTACTTACATACTTACTTATACAGTGGTTCATTTCCCCCCAAACACCAGTGGAGACGAATTATAAACAAACACGTACAAGAATATGAAGAATACGTGGCGTAACATGCGAGCTCACACATCACTGACATATCACATACTTTTGAACTGAGCATTTTTATACCCTGAACACAGAGCAAACTTGCAATTATGTTTGAAAATCTCATCACGAAATAAAATCTCAAAAGAATGTTTGCTTTGTAACAAGCACGCTTATGACTATGACAACCATGTGATACTACACTGTGAAAAATTATTACCTCTCCGAAATAACTTTTTCTCATCTCTGATTGATCTACTTGATGTTGAAACCTATGTAAATTTTGAAATGTTGGAAGACGACGAAATGCTGTCAACTCTCCAAGGTGCAGATACACAGTTCACACGATCCCTATAGTACTGTCGGAAATAGAAAAAAACTGTTTTTAGGCTGTTACTCTGTATCCCTTAAATTGACAAAATTGCAAATAGCATATGTCGAAATAACCCACTTCGGCCTAACTGGGCGTTCAGTGGGATGCGTAATACGATATCCAGAAAAGCATGTTTACTCGTAAAATCGGGCAAAATCGGGCAAAACTTAGAAAAAATACGAATAGCTGCTGAAAACAATAGATCAGACTATAGATGGCAATGAGGTCGCTCAGCCAGGTATGACGACGGACCGTCGACTCACCTGGCATGAAATGCACGTGCTGCCTACAGGCACAAGGGGTCATCTCAAAGATATTTTGTTCCTTTTTCATGTGTGTTGACTATGTCTCATCTACTGATTAACATCTTACGTGTCTTTCTTTCATAAAGTTTATGTTGAGATATGTAAGAGAGTATGATACCCGAAAACCATAGAAACGCATCGTAGTATATAGGTGGCATGACCACCCGAAGATCGACAGGACTGGATATTACTTGTAAATTGTTATGACGTGCCGTGTACCTCCCCAGTATCATTGCCCTAAAGGATTATCTTATCTTAGCTGATATCTCTATCCCCAGCCCGACCCCAGGTTTTGCTTTTGAGGCGACCCTTCCTATCTGTTTCTTTTTATAGTGACAGTGAGACTGCATGGTAGCTACATCCTTAATAGTTTTGGCATGAAAGTTATTATTTGTTACGTCAGCTATCGTTTATAATGAAAATACGTCTAATTTCAAATTGGGCATTTAAAAAGTGTCCTTTGTAATACAATATCGTCGCACACTAATTTGCATAAAGCCATGGTCTGTTCCAAATAGGTCTTTTTGGACTTAGAAAAAACCCGCATTTCTCATTTCTGCACTAATTTCCCCTCAGTCAAGTCCTTTTGCTCCGTTTCCTATCTCTCTACCACTGAGACTGTAGTTAGGCCGAACTTAGTTTAACAGATATTTCACATATCAACTACATAAATTGTAGAGATAAATGAGAAAATACAGTTTTTTTCTATTTCCGACAGTACTATAGTGCGGGACACATACCATGTTGTCATTATCAACTTTGCAAAATATGTCTATCATTTGAAACAATATGTTGAGTTTGCTTTTTAATGGAGGTACTCTGTGTACAAGTGACGCCATCCCTTTGTGAATGTTTGATTATATTTCTGTACATATCAATTGTGAACTATGAATGACATTGTCCTGTATCTAAATACTAATGTGTTTTATGTTTGATTGAATTCATGTATCAATAATCTTGGGATTGATTTCTGGAGGAACTCTCTCTCTCTCCATGCCGCAGTGAAGCATGAATACCCCACTCAGACACATTATACTGACTCCAAGCCGACCAGTCCTTGTTGTACCCATTAATGCTGAGCGCCAGGTAGGGACACTGACATGTATTTTAACTACAAATAAAACCGAGTATACTAGTACATACCATATATATAGTCAGCATATTAATACATCCTATTCGACATACACGGTTTTAATTTTATCTTCGTCAAATGGCCACGAAATATAATATCTCTTTACAAGGTCAGCTTCTTCTCGACCTCGTCACGGAACCATACAATATCAGTGTGATTCAGGGTGTTATATCGGTAATATCATAGAGGAATGAATTATTACCATCAAATGCGGCACGTCCCCAGTACTAACGCCAAGGTTAAAGTGTTCGCTGGTCATGCTGAAGACCTGGGTGCGATTCCCCACATAGGTACAATGGGTAAAGCCCATTTCTGGTGTCCCCCACCGCGATATTGCTGGAATATTGCTTAAAGCAGCTATAAACCATATTCACTCACTCACATATTAGTTGTGTTTCACTCATCCCTTGACAGCTGCTTCAGTGTGAAGGTGTGCATTGAGCCCACATGGGAAGGTCAGGTCAAATATAGGTGCCTGGTCTAGGGCTTGCTGGAGTCTCAGTTGGCTGTGTACCACTTGTTTGCCTGTCACAGAATTCATTACTTACAGACCCGTGAAGACCCAGGTTAGAAATGGTCTTCAGCAACCCATGCTTGTAGTAGAAGGCGACTAACGGGATCAAGTGGTCAGACTCGCTGACTTCGTTGACACATGCTGTATCCATCGATGTATAGATCGATGGTCATGCTGTTGATCACTGGATTGTTTGGTCCAGACTCGATTAATTACAGATTGTTGCCATACAGCTGCAATATTGCTGAGTGCGGCGTAAAACTAAACTCACTCACTCACTGATAGAGCCGCGTATGTCACGTCATATACTCAACATATTTTCTGTCAGACAAACACCTAATGGATAAGTATACATATTTGTCATGCGTGAGTGCTTGTACAAATCATGGATTGTGGCAGTTATATATTGATAGCCAGCAGGGGTGGCACAACCCCGTTTTACAAATTGCTGCTTCATTCTCAACATACCTACTATCAGCCCGGTTTTATCCCCCAAATACTGTGAGTGTGTAGGGATACCATGAGGTGTGTCAACCATGCCAGCCAGCCTGACAACCCGATCTCGTTAGTCGCCTCTTACGACAAGCATGGGTTCCTGAAGATCAATTCTAACCCGGATCTTCACGGGTCCCTAATACTGTGAGTGTGTAGGGATACCATGAGGTGTGTCAACCACATCAGCGAGCCTGACAACCCGATCCCGTTAGTCGCCTCTTACGACAAGCATGGGTTCCTGAAGATCAATTCTAACCCGGATCTTCACGGGGAGACAAGCATGGGTTCCTGAAGATCAATTCTAACCCGGATCTTCACGGGTTTCACTAATACTGTGAGACAGGCAGGGTAGAGTACTTCTGTAGTAGGAGGCGACTGGGATTTAACTACCAATCATTGGCTCTCCGCAATAATTCACTGATAACATAGTGATGTGGATTCAGGAGGCCCGACTCCATGGTCTGGTTTGACACGTGATCTTACCGCGACGGCACCACATGTTGCTCACGACATCAATCACTGGTTCGTGGGATGAGTTCCAGACCTAATTTTTCAGACCATTATCACATAGTTGTTACATTTCTGTGCAACATCAAACAACTTGTCATTTGTCATCTGCTACAAGCACAGATCCCTAAGTGAATGAGTGAGATTAGGTTTATGCAGCACTCAGCAATATTCCAGCTATATGGCCGGTCTGTAAATACTCGAGTCTTGACCAGACAATCCAGTGATCAACAGCATGAACATCGATCTATGCAATTTGGAACCGATGACGGTGTCAACAAAGGCATGGAGCCTGACCACCGATCCCGTTTATCACCTGTTACCACAACGATGGGTTACTGAAGATCGATTCTAACCTGGACCTTCACGGGTAACAGATCCCAAATACCACTTCTAAACCATGAAAGTAACAGTAACCAAGATAGTCTATATATTTATTCCACATACAGACTTCATCTACAGATCCAGGATCAGGAGAAAGATGATATTTACATGTGCATTGTGCCTCAAATCAAAAGCAATGACAACAGCAATATACAAGCTGAGAGAAGCATGGTTTGGAGGTATTAATAAATATTAATTTCATAAGTACAAAATTAGACAGGATATAAAATAAATATTCACTCCCTTTCTGATAAAGGAAGCAATGATGTTTAGTCCAAAGTAATTAGTCTTGTGTAATAATGTTGTGCGCACAGTAATAGATATTCAAGTGTTTCCGTCTGAGAGAGAGGAGCAATTATTTCGAAGTGTCCAGGAACTCACAGAGATGATAAACTTTCACTGCACACTCTAGTATCAACAAACACATGTTGATTAGTTCTTGATTATAATTTACAACACAAAATAATGTGACCGTTGAATACCAACAAAACGTTGTCCCCAATTCGGTGACAATTCACTAACCCAGAAATACTGAATAACTGACCATGTATTACTATGTAAGCGTTACTGCTCTTCTTGTGGTATGACAAATCACAGAAGATATGACAAATTGTGGTTTTGTAACAAGGCCTCTGATTGGTTGATCACATTGTCTGTTTTGCTTTTGTTAAGTGTTCCCTGGCAATAATCATCCGTTGAATTTGAGCAGTCCCCTCATAAATCTGAAACAAAGCGATATTTACATGTTAAAGGCTGCAGTGTATCAATATAGTTATATACAAATTGTTGTAATGGTTTCAAATTAATTATCAGACAATAAAGGTATAGTTTTTTGATGACGTAACAATTGAATGACGTTATCCCGTCACTGCGCCATTCTAGTGTGCCCCCTCGTAATCGAACCATTTTACATTACGTCACAATGTAAGTGACGTCACGATGCATGTCAGTTGTCATCGCCTCGTACGGCCTCCTACAGTAAACTACTCCATAGCATCCCATTTCTTGGTTTGAAGTTGCTTCACGCAGCTAACATCACTGGTGGAAACATTACGTTTATGTTTTACGACGGTTAAAATGTGTCAATTCGACTCACAAGTTTTCAGCGACACGGTAACGTTCGCAATGTTTACATTCCCACAATGCAATCGTGGAATGTCGCTTGACTACTCAGCTTTCTAACGTAGACCGTCATCAAACTGTTATCGTTTGGGTTTTTTCTGGTAACGTTGGTCTTAACGTGGGGGGGGGGAGAGACACATCAATAGAACAGCACGCCAGTTAGCCCTGTGCGAGGATTCTTAATTTAGGTCACCGACACCGTCGTTTGATTTCTGCCTTAAATTAATCGTAATTATCCTTAGAAAGTATTAAATTTGGCATCTTAGAAAAGAAATACAGTTCGCTCTACCACCATGTGTCGTGTAATAAAACACTTTCGCCCTGAACTGTTATAACATTAAAGCACTCGGACGCAATCGTCCTCGGACTTTAACTATAATAGTTCAGGGCAAAAGTGTGTTTTATTACACTATACATGGTGGTAGAGCGAACTGTATTTCTTAAACCTGCCTTGTATATTTAAAACAAAACTGCTCCCTGTAATTATTAGGTGAATTAAACAGTTCTGTTTTAATTTTGTTTTGTTGCATTAATATGCTTGGTTTGTTGTTTAACACCACACTCAGCAATATTCCAGCTATATGGCGGCAGTCTGTAAATAACTGAGTCTGGACCAGACAATCCAGTGATCAACAGCATGAGCATCGTTCTACACAATTGGGATATGATGACATGTGTCAACCAAGTCAGCGAGCCTGACCACCAGATCCCGTTAGTCGCCTCTTATGACAAGCATGGGTTGCTGAAGATCGATTCTGACCCGGATCTTCATGGGTCAGTATTCATATGGGATTCATCCACAAAATCATAGTCATATGACAGCTCCCTAATATAATCACAATCCAAACTAGTGGTTGATGTCTTGAACAGTACAATGACACGTCATCTAGTACAGACATTTCCATGAGACCCTCAATTTGGAGGGGTTGGACAATGAATTACTTGTGACAGAAACCTCCAGCATATACATCTAGTGGTGTTCCGATTAGTTGAAATAATTGAAGATTGGTCGCAGTGACCAAACGACCAAGCAATCGATCACATTTTCTCATAATCGAACACGCACAAATTTGCAACTACTGTTTTAGTGTTTGAAACACTTGACAATGGAACATATCCTAGAAGTTGTCAGGGCTTGAAAACTTGTTTAATTCTTAGAAAACTCACTTCACTAACTGAAAAGTCATGACTGAATATTTCTCTAAGACTCCAGGAAGTTTATGTTCATGATATATTAGTCATCACTTTAAAGTAGCAAGTTGCATCATGTTATACATATCTACAATAACAACCTTGATATGAAAATCTGAAAAATGATGCTAACCAATTTTTTTCGATGATTGTTCGTTGGTAATGAAGCAATCATCAATTGTGAGATTTCAACCAATTCCCAACACTAGTACCTACCTGGTATATTTTGGCATCTCTCATCAGCTTCTCTACAGGGTAATCACTGTTGAAGCCATTACCTCCGAAAATCTGAAACAGACCAAAATATTTTAATATGACAGCATTTCATGGTGCCTTATATCTGTATATCTTCCAAATTAAGCTTAGATCAGCAAGTGAGGTGAGGTGAGGTGAAATTGGGTTTAACGTCGTGCTTGAGAATATTTCGCTCATATGACGACGTGCATGCGTGTGTGTGTGTGTGTATGTGCGGCTGCTTGTACTAGCCCAGACTTAAGCTGTTTTATTGTGCTAGCCCACTGAGATACCATGCCCCAGTGAAGCATGAATTAACTGACCAGTCCTTGATGATGCAGAGCGCAGGCAGGCAGGGACCAACAAGTATGGCTAGCGGTCCATTTTAAGCGTCTTTTGGTATGGCGCGGTCAGGGATCGAACCATGCGACCTTCTGAAGCGCTCTCGGTGGACGCTCTAACCACTAAACTCAGTCAGTCAGTCAGATCAGGAGGCGGTCTGCTGGTTGTCATTATATAGTCCTGTGAATCTATTGTAACTTTTCCCATGGGGCTCTGAGAGAACGAAATCTGAGATTTTCGCACATGGCAATACTAAGCATCATCACCTGGACAGCATCTGTGGCACATTTGTTTGCAACATCGCCAGCGAGGGCCTTGGCGATGGAAGCGAAGTATGTGTTCCGACGACCCTGGTCAATCTCCCAAGCTGACCGGTGCATGGCCAGACGAGAGGATTCCACCCCAATGGCCATCTCGGCCAGCATGAAGGACACGGCCTGATGCTGGAAAAGAGAGAACGGGCTGTAGATGTGAAGAAGTTTCTCAACAATTTCTTGAATATTGACCTTGACCACTCAGCAATATTCCAGTTGTATAACACAACACTGATCAACATTCCAGCTGAACAACACAACACTCAGCAACATTCCAGGTGTACAACACAACAATCAGCAATAATCAAGCTATACAACACAGCACTCAGCAATATTCCAGCTGTATAACACAGCACTCAGCAACATTCCAGCTGTATAACACAGCACTCAGCAATATTCCAGCTATACAACACAACACTCAGCAACATATTCCAGCCAGCTATACAACACAACACTCAGCAATATTCCAGCTATACAACACAACACTCAGCAATATTCCAGCTGTACAACACAACACTCAGCAATATTCCATCTGTACAACACAACACTCAGCAATATTCCAGCTGTACAACACAACACTCAGCAACATTCCAGCTGTACAACACAGCACTCAGCAATATTCCAGCTGTACAACACAACACTCAGCAACATTCCAGCTATACAACACAACTCAGCAACATTCCAGCTGTACAACACAACACTCAGCAATATTCCAGCTGTACAACACAACACTCAGCAACATTCCAGCTGTACAACACAACACTCAGCAATATTCCAGCTGTACAACACAACACTCAGCAACATTCCAGCTGTACAACACAACACTCAGCAATATTCCAGCTGTACAACACAACACTCAGCAATACAGCTTACAACACAACACTCAGCAACATTCCAGCTGTACAACACAACACTCAGCAATATTCCAGCTGTACAACACAACACTCAGCAACATTCCAGCTGTACAACACAACACTCAGCAATATTCCAGCTGTACAACACAACACTCAGCAACATTCCAGCTATACAACACAACACTCAGCAATATTCCAGCTATACACACAACACTCAGCAACATTCCATCTGTACAACACAACACTCAGCAACATTCCAGCTATACAACACAACACTCAGCAACATTCCAGCTATACAACACAACACTCAGCAATATTCCAGCTGTACAACACAACACTCAGCAACATTCCAGCTGTACAACACAACACTCAGCAATATTCCATCTGTACAACACAACACTCAGCAATATTCCAGCTGTACAACACAACACTCAGCAACATTCCAGCTGTACAACACAACACTCAGCAATATTCCAGCTGTACAACACAACACTCAGCAATATTCCAGCTGTACAACACAACACTCAGCAACATTCCAGCTGTACAACACAACACTCAGCAATATTCCAGCTATACAACACAACACTCAGCAACATTCCAGCTGTACAACACAACACTCAGCAATATTCCAGCTGTACAACACAACACTCAGCAATATTCCAGCAATATTCCAGCAATATTCCAGCAATATTATAGAACACAACACTCAGCAATATTCCAGCTGTACAACACAACACTCAGCAACATTCCAGCTGTACAACACAACACTCAGCAACATTCCAGCTATACAACACAACACTCAGCAATATTCCAGCTGTACAACACAACACTCAGCAACATTCCAGCTATACAACACAACACTCAGCAACATTCCAGGTGTACAACACAACACTCAGCAACATTCCAGCTATACAACACAACACTCAGCAACATTCCAGGTGTACACCACAACACTCAGCAACATTCCAGCTATACACCACAACACTCAGCAATATTCCAGGTGTACACCACAACACTCAGCAACATTCCAGCTGTACAACACAACAATCAGCAACATTCCAGCTGTACAACACAACACTCAGCAACATTCCAGCTGTACAACACAACACTCAGCAACATTCCAGCTGTACAACACAACACTCAGCAACATTCCAGCTATACAACACAACACTCAGCAACATTCCAGCTGTACAACACAACACTCAGCAACATTCCAGCTGTACAACACAACACTCAGCAACATTCCAGCTGTACAACACAACACTCAGCAATATTCCAGCTATACAACACAACACTCAGCAACATTCCAGCTATACAACACAGCACTCAGCAACATTCCAGCTGTACAACACAACACTCAGCAACATTCCAGCTGTACAACACAACACTCAGCAACATTCCAGCTGTACAACACAACACTCAGCAACATTCCAGCTGTACAACACAACACTCAGCAACATTCCAGCTGTACAACACAACACTCAGCAACATTCCAGCTGTACAACACAACACTCAGCAACATTCCAGCTATACAACACAACACTCAGCAACATTCCAGCTGTACAACACAACACTCAGCAATATTCCAGCTATACAACACAACACTCAGCAATATTCCAGCTATACAACACAACACTCAGCAACATTCCAGCTGTACAACACAACACTCAGCAACATTCCAGCTATACAACACAACACTCAGCAACATTCCAGCTGTACAACACAACACTCAGCAACATTCCAGCTATACAACACAACACTCAGCAATATTCCAGCTGTACAACACAACACTCAGCAACATTCCAGCTATACAACACAACACTCAGCAATATTCCAGCTATACAACACAACACTCAGCAATATTCCAGCTATACAACACAACACTCAGCAACATTCCAGCTATACAACACAACACTCAGCAATATTCCAGCTATACAACACAACACTCAGCAATATTCCAGCTATACAACACAACACTCAGCAATATTCCAGCTGTACACAACACTCAGCAACATTCCAGCTATACAACACAACACTCAGCAATATTCCAGCTATACAACACAACACTCAGCAATATTCCAGTTATACAACACAACACTCAGCAATATTCCAGTTATACTTGTCTCACCTCACAGATGAACTTGCCCATGGTCTTCCTCTCCATGGAGTATCGGGTGGCCTCCTCTAGAGCGCGCTGGGCCAGTCCAACAGCACCTGCCGCAACCTGAAACGAGAGGGGAGAGTGAGTGTCATCATTTAAACATGGAAAGCCTAGAGATGAAACTGGAATATGTCAACGTATTTTTCTATGATTTGAACACACCGCCTTTGTGAAAGTGAACTGAGAAATGTGCTAATGAGGCCAGACTAATTTTATTTCTTGTTTTACGGATCCGCCTGTCATATCTTTCAAGATTAAGAAAAAAATATAAATGAATTTTCCCTGCTCAAAAAATTTAATCCTAATGTTTTTATTGGCCAAGAAAGTTTTTTTAGACTGTTTTTTTCTCCCGTATACACTTCATAAATTGCCAAAAGTAAAATACTTTGATTATTTAGAAGGAATATTACTTTGACTGGTGATTTGATTTTGATTTTTTTTCCCTCCTGCCTTTAGGTTTTCTCAGGACAAAAATCCGTAAAACAAGAAATAAAATTGGTCTGGTCTGATCAGAAATTATAAACTTGTAGCATCACAGACGATCGCAACAGAGGCAAGACAACATCATTGCTGGAGCTCTACAACCTTAGGGCCTGCAGCTTTTCAGGGTTAAGGACAAACACTGGCCATAATGCTAAATTCACCAACAGGAGCCAAGCAAGAAAGTGACTGAGTGAGTTTAGTTTTACGCCGTACTCAGGAATATTCCAGCTATATGGCGGCGGTCTGTAAATAAAGGAGTCTGGACCAGACAATCCAGTGATCAACAGCATGAGCATCGATCTACGCAACTGGGATGTGATGACGTGTCAACCAAGTCAGCTAGTCTGACCACCCGATCCTGTTAGTCGCCTCTTACGACAAGAACGGGTTGCTAAAGATCAATTCTTACCCGGCAAGCAAGAAAGTAACAAGAGTCATCAGAAGATGACATATCCCCCCGGCCCCCACATCTTTGAAAGAACAAATCATCTGACAGTTACTTAAAGTCCAGCTTGATTTTAGACTAAGTGCAAATCGTTTCCATGGAAATCATGAAAAAAATAAATGACAAAAATCTGCAAATAGCAAAAGGCACCACTTTGGCATCAGCCTCACATATCTGCCAAGTTTTGCTGAAAGATATTAAGAAGTTTTCGAGTTGTGCTCCGGAAACGAAACCCATCCCTTCCTTTTTGAGACTAAGTCCAAAATGTTTCCATGGAAACCAAGAAAAATAAAAACGCCAAAAATCTGCAAATAGCAAAAGGCACCACTTAAGGTTCTGTTTCATACATCTACCAAGTTTTGTTGAAAAATATTGAACCGTCCTTGAGTTATGCTCCGGAAATGAAGCCCACCCCTCACTTTTGGGACTAAGTCCGAATCGTTTCCATGGAAACCGGGAAAAGTTAAAATGCCAAAAATCTGTAAATAGCAAAAGGCACCACTTTAGGATCTGATTGATATATCTACCAAGTCTTGTTGAAAAATATTGAACGGTTCTTGAGTTATGCTCCGGAAACGAAACCCACCCCTTCCTTTTGAGACTAAGTCTGAATCATTTCCATGGAAACCGGGAAAAGTAAAAATGCTAAAAATCTGTAAATAGCAAAAGGCACCATTTTAGGATCTGTTTGATATATCTACCATGTTTTGTTGAAAAATATTGAACGGTTCTTGAGTTATGCTCCGGAAACGAAGCCACCCCTTCCTTTTGAGACTAAGTCTGAATCATTTCCATGGAAACAGAGAAAATAATAAATCACAAATATCTGCAAATAGCAAAAGGCACCACTTCAAGATCTGCCTCACATATCTGCCAAGTTTTGCTGAAAGATATAGAGAAGTTTTCGAGTTGTGCTCCGGAAACGAGGCCCACCCCTCACTTTTGGGACTAAGTCCGAATCGTTTCCATGGAAACCCGGAAAAATAAAAATGCCAAAAATCTGCAAATAGCAAAAGGCACAACTTTAGGATCTGTTTGATATATCTACCGAGTTCTGTTGAAAAATATTGAACAGTTCTTGAGTTATGCTCCGGAAACAAAAGCAATCCTTACTTTTTGAGACTGTTTCCATGGAAACCGGGAAAAATAAAAATGCCAAAAATCTGCAAATAGCAAAAGGCACAACTTTAGGATCTGTTTGATATATCTACCAAGTTTTGTTGAAAAATATTGAACGGTTCTTGAGTTATGCTCCGGAAACGAAAGCAATCCTTACTTTTTGAGACTAAGTCCAAAATGTTTCCATGGAAACCAGGAAAAATAAAAATGCCAAAAATCTGTAAATAGCAAAAGGCACAACTTTAGGATCTGTTTGATATATCTACCAAGTTTTGTTGAAAAATATTGAACGGTTCTTGAGTTATGCTCCGGAAACGAAGCCCACCCTTCTTTAAGACTAAGTCCAAAACGTTTCCATGGAAACCGAGAAAAATAAAAATGACAATAATCTGTAAATAGCAAAAGGCACCACTTTAGGTTATGTTTGACATATCTACAAAATTTGGATGAAAAATATCGAACGGTCTTTGAGTTATGCTCCGGAAACAAAATGATTACGGACGGACGGACGGACAGACGGACGAGGCGACGACTATATCCCACCGCATCACATGCCGGTGGGATAATAAAAGTCATACATTGGTTGTCCAGGTAACATATGCAACCAAATTGGTAATAATTTTTGGAGGGCTGTGTTAAAATGCAAGATTAAACATTTTTTAATTTTTACATATACAACAAACAATTGACTGTAAAATTTGGTTAAACAATGTTTACATTAAGTCATGTTTATGAAGAATAAGATAACCACTCACCCACCAACAGTAAGTAATCAGTTCGCAGATACACAACAAGAAACAGTAGATCTAAGAGGAATGATGCTACTTTACTTACTGGGGGTCTTGTTTTGTCGAAAGCACCCATGGCAATCTTGAAGCCGATTCCTTCCTGGCCAAGAACATTCTATAAACGAGAAACAGAAGTCATAAAACAACATACTATAACTGTACTGGTGCTTTAATAGCATCATCAGCAACGTTCAAGTTACGTGGCCTTTAAGTAATCTAGTATAGTTCAGATGACTCAGTCCTCAACATTTGAGTAACACACCGTTACGGTACGTTGCAGGTACGTTGACGCATAATCTACTAAAGTACTGTCGGAAATGCTAGAAAAATGCTTTTTAGCCTTGATATTTTTAGAAAGGTGATAAATGTACTATGTTGTCAATATATCAACTCACATATAGTGTACCTAATTTTTATTTCAATTGATTTAACATTCCCATGCATTTAAAGGGCAGTTTACAGGAGAGAATTTGGTACCAAAACAACAACTTAAGATTTTTTCTGAGTTCAACAACAGAAATCTGAAATAGTCTTTACATTTATGCTAATAATACAGGTGGTGTTAAAATATGAATTAACATTTTTCTTAAACAAATAAATGTTGAATGTTTGTGTTACTTTACTTAATTATCGTTTCTTTATTGAAGAAATATTAATATAAATGTTAAGGCTTGATATAAATAAGTTTCCCGTCATGCATGCACATCTTTATCACAGCGTCCACTATGGTCAACTATTTGCAGTCGAATGTTGCAAATGTTTATCAGTTTTATTGTGCTTGAAAAGCCAGAGGTAAACCTTTCATTACTTTAGAAAGGGTTTATTACATGTATGTCTTACCAACAAGTTTACAATACTGTAAACAAATCAAACAAGACAGGGACCGTCTCAAAAGCAAAACCGGGACGTAAAACCATCCTTGACAACTTTGACAATGGAGTACTTAGACACCAGTGACTTTGTGAAATCTTTGGCCAATGTTCACAACTAGATTAAACTGACCGAATTACATCCATATCTTTGCAATGAAATATACTGTTGACATGCAAAACATTTATGAAAACGTTGCACATTTCTACAATCAATGGATAAGATAACACAAGTGACAGGATTCTTTCCAGTGTACATCAATTCGTATGTTTATTTCAAAACAAACACACATACACAAATGATCTCTTACATAACCAATACGTATACAATACGTACACATATTCAACATTTTGAAGAAAACTCTATTGAGATGACCCCTCGCCCGAGCGTGTGTGCTCAGGTGTCAATTTCACCTGTCGATACCGTGCATGCTGATGACGTAACACAGGCAGTTAACGTTTGTATCAAATAATGTCCACTTACCCCATATTTTTCTAAGTTTTTGGTATTTTCATCAGTAAAAACACATTTTAGGACATGTCTCAAAATTTATTCCCTCGGTCTACATTAGGTAGATGTTTCTTAAAGTGATATTTGTTATTTAAGTAACTGTAATACCTCTGAATTTTAAATATAAGTCAAAAAACATTTTTCTAGCATTTCCGACAGTACTTTAAGTCACTGAGCATATTTGCAGCATATTTGGTCCAAATTACAACCAGCTCAGGTCGATGGGGTTCAAGTCTAACCGATCTCTGTAAGGCATTTAGACATTATGTTACTGATCGGGGGCGGATCCCTTGATTTATAAAGTGTAAAATTTAGTCTGTTTTAAGGAAGAGAGTTGATTACCTCTGCTGGGACAACAACGTCCTCGAAGGTGATTCCTCGTGTGTCCGACGCTCTCTGTCCCATGTTCCACTCCTGGAAATACACACAGGCAGAGTAATGAGAGGTAACAGGAAATGGTAACAAAGGGTAAGGGGTAACAGGCAAGGGTGATCTTGTATGGTTAATCAGTAAAGGGAGGTAACTCTGATGACTAGCACTTCAACTCTAAAATAAACGTTCAAGCAAATATAATGATATATCTTGAAAATTCAGTTGAAGATAAACAAAATCGCTACTTGGTTATTCCATTCATTAAAATAATCAGAGATCTTTGTTAAGAATATCATGTGAAGAAGATACCATACATTCCTTTTGAAGGACCATGACCAGACATCCATCTACACAAATACACACAACTTGTAAATAAAAGTGTCACAATTTAGGGTGAACACTTAACCGAAATTGATATATATATCTTAAAGATTTTTAACAAGGATAATCTTAACACTACATTCAAGGAACGATACCAGGTTCCACATTCATCATGGACATTGTGAAACCTACCTTCCTGCTGGGGATAACACCAGGTGTCCTGATCAACAAGAACAGTGTGCAACCTACCTTCCTGCAGGAAATGAAACACTAGGTGTCCCATTAAACAAGACAACTGTGCAACCTACCTTCCTGCGGGAATAACACCAGGTGTCTCATTCAACAAGAAACACTGTGCAACCTACCTTCTACGGGGAAATAACACCAGGTGTCTCATTCAACAAGAAACACTGTGCAACCTACCTTCTACGGGGAAATAACACCAGGTGTCTCATTCAACAAGAAACACTGTGCAACCTACCTTCCTGCGGGAAATAACACCAGGTGTCTCATTCAACAAGAAACACTGTGCAACCTACCTTCTACGGGGAAATAACACCAGGTGTCTCATTCAACAAGAAACACTGTGCAACCTACCTTCCTGCGGGAAATAACACCAGGTGTCTCATTCAACAAGAAACACTGTGCAACCTACCTTCCTGCGGGAATAACACCAGGTGTCTCATTCAACAAGAAACACTGTGCAACCTACCTTCTACGGGGAAATAACACCAGGTGTCTAATTCAACAAGAAACACTGTGCAACCTACCTTCTACGGGGAAATAACACCAGGTGTCTCATTCAACAAGAAACTATGTGCAACCTACCTTCTACGGGGAAATAACACCAGGTGTCTCATTCAACAAGAAACACTGTGCAACCTACCTTCCTGCGGGAAATAACACCAGGTGTCTCATTCAACAAGAAACACTGTGCAACCTACCTTCCACGGGAAATAACACCAGGTGTCTCATTCAACAAGAAACACTGTGCAACCTACCTTCCTGCGGGAAATAACACCAGGTGTCTCATTCAACAAGAAACACTGTGCAACCTACCTTCCTGCGGGAATAACACCAGGTGTCTCATTCAACAAGAAACACTGTGCAACCTACCTTCTACGGGGAAATAACACCAGGTGTCTCATTCAACAAGAAACACTGTGCAACCTACCTTCTACGGGGAAATAACACCAGGTGTCTCATTCAACAAGAAACACTGTGCAACCTACCTTCTACGGGGAAATAACACCAGGTGTCTCATTCAACAAGAAACACTGTGCAACCTACCTTCTACGGGGAAATAACACCAGGTGTCTCATTCAACAAGAAACACTGTGCAACCCACCTTCCTGCGGGAAATAACACCAGGTGTCTCATTCAACAAGAAACACTGTGCAACCTACCTTCCTGCGGGAAATAACACCAGGTGTCTCATTCAACAAGACAACTGTGCAACCTACCTTCTCCGGGGAAATAAACACAAGGTGTCCCATTCAACAAGAAACAGTGTGCAGCCTACCTTTATGTTTGTAATAATACCAGGTGTCCTGATCAACAAGAACAGTGTGCAACCTACCTTCTCCATAACACTAGGTGTTGCAATCAACAAGACAATTGTGCAACCTACCTTCCTGCCGGGAATAACACCAGGTGTGTCCCGTTCAACGATGAAGCCAGTGAAAGCTTTGCCCGCGGAAGCATTGGGGTCTGGGTCAGTGCGGGCAAGGACGAAGTACCAGTTGGCATGGCCTCCATTCGTGATCCACATCTTCTGGCCATTTAGGACATACTCGTTGCCCTTCTTGACAGCACGTGTCTTGATCCCGCTACGTCTGATCCCGCACCCGGTTCCGTTACGCAATAGGCCTGCAGAGTACACAGATAGTGTGTCGGATACTTGATCACAGGGTGAGTGAGTGTTGGTAGGTTGGTTTACGCTGCACTCAGCAATATTCCAGCTATATGGTAGCCATATGTACATAATCGAGTCTGGACCAGAAATTCCAGTGATTATCATATCATCAACATTGATCTACGTAATTGGGAACCGATGACATGTGTCAACCAAGTCAGCGAGCCTGACCACCCGATCCCGTTAGTCGCCTTTAACGACAAGCATGGATTACTGGAGACCAATCTCACCCAGATCTTCACATGTATGCAAACACAGGAATAAAGGTCTTTTGAAGGGACCATTTTTCTGTTAGCATCACAGTCAGCCGCACTTACACACATCAAAGGCTCTTCCATCATCCTCCCCAGATACTTCGTCTTCTGAGCCTCATTGCCTGCAATTATCACTGGCATTTGCTGGAAGGGAACAAAAACAAAGAAAGATGAAGTTCAAATTCTTTAAAAATGATTGCCTGACTGAGTTTAGTTTTACGCCGCTTTTAGCAATATTCCAGCAATATCACGGCGGGGGACACCAGAAATGGGCTTAACACATTGTGCCCATGTGGGGAATCGAACCCGGGTCTTCGGCGTGACGAGACAACGCTTTAACCACTAGGCTATCCCACCCCCCTTTAAAAATAAACATAATGAATACAGTCAAAGTCATGATGAACATAAATAAAATCATGAATAACTGAACTGATGTTTAACACTCAAACATAATTATTGTTAAATACAATATATCCTTCAGTCTGTCTCTGGACAGGAGAAAAGATGGGTTTGTTTTCATGAAACATTTTTACTCAGAACATGTTTGACCGAAGTCAAGCAAAATAATGTCCTTTTTCTTTGTAGAACATGAGGTTAATTTATCATTTTCCTAAACATCCTCAAAATTAGGAGATAGCTGGGGTCAATATTGGATATGGGCTGAACTGGGTCATGGGTGTGTCAAGAGTTATCTCCCTTGCCATCTGAGAAAATGTCATGGCTTTGGGTGCAAAGTTTCAGCTTTCATTCTGCTTTTCGAGCCAAGCTGGGAGGCAATGGTGAGCGAGTGAGTGAGTTTGGTTTTACGCCTCTTTTAGCAATATTCCAGCAATATCACGGCGGGGGACACCAGAAATGGAGCTTCACACATTGCACCCATGTGGGAATGAACCCAGGTCTTGATGTGATGAGCTAGAATGCTTTAACCATCAGGCTAACCCACCAAGAGGCAATGGTTCTGACTGAACACTAGAGATGTGAGACGACCATGTCTGTTGCGCTACTTACTCCAAGAGAGTTGGCTTCAATAGCCGTCTGCACCCCCGTGCAGCCGTATGCCAGTTCCTCTGTCACGATGCAGGCATCCATGATACCAAGTCCAAGACCTCCTGAATACACACAGTGGATGGAGGTAAGTTCATGAAGCCTTGGGAGTGATCACCCAGCATAGAATAGAATAGAATAGAATAGAATAGAATGGAGAATAGAATGGAGAATAGAATAGAATGGATAGAATAGAATAGAATAGAATAGAATAGAATGGAATGGAATAGAATAGAATGGAATGGAATGGAATGGAATAGAATAGAATAGAATAGAATAGAATAATACTTTAATGCCTTTTCAGGAATTTGTGTTACATCAAGAGCTACTGACACATTAGAGAGATACCAAACATATTTACATAAATTCTTTGATTTAGGTATCTTCACATTTGTTTAAGAGAGATATGGTATTTGGAATAAAGGATGTACGGGCTCTCTTAGTTTTCACAATTGGAACTTTAGCAGCGGCCTGAAGGGAGGAGGTTGTATTCCGAATTTAAGTAGTGAGTACGGTCAGATATGATTTTGACAGCTTGATTCACGATTTGCCGCTCATATACTGATGATAAACATTCAAATCTGACTCCAGCGATTTTACTTGCAGTGTTAACAATTTTGTCTATTTTAGATTTGAGATGAACTGAGAGAGACCCGTACCAACAATGGAAGGAAAATGTTAAAATACTCTGAATAAATGCTACATAAAAAGATGACATCACAGATGGGTTAACATTAAAAGATCTCAGTTTATGCATGAGATGAAGACGTTGACACTTTTTGTATAGGGCGTCAGTGTTAGAGTTCCAGTTCAGCTTAGAGTCATGGCAGGTTAATCATGTTAACAAAGGCTGTTGGTTAAAGAGAAGCAGATTGCAGATGATTACCATTTTTAAAAGTGAAACCCAAAAGCACAATTGTCAGGAATGACAAACAAGTCAAAGATCCTAAGATCCTGGAATGCCTAAGGGAGGTAACTTGTGATTCACCTTTGTCCAATTAATTTGAGTTTGTCAATAACCCTATCTACAGCTAGACATGCAACAGTGATAGGTTACACACTGGTAATGTGGTATCTACACACGTAATTCCTTATTGGATAGATTGGAGTCAGATTTCTCAGTGTATCTGACACAAAGTTGTTTGTGAATGAAATTCTGATCATGTGACTTTGTTGTACGTACCTCAAGAATGGGGAATGTGAGTGTTCATGAGGCCAAGCTCCCACGCCTTCTTGATGATGTCAACTGGATACTGAAACGATGAACATTGCGAACATGATGAACGCATGAACAGAGGGAGAACAGTGGACATGGGAAGAACAGTGGACATGGGAAGAACAATGAACAAGGGGAAGACAATAAACAAGGGAAGAACAGATGATATAGGGAGAACGATGAACAAGGGAAGAACAATGAACAAGGGAAGAACGGTGGACATGGGGAGAACAGTGGACATGGGAAGAACAGTGGACATAGGAAGAACAATTCACAAGGGAAAAACAATGAACATGGGAAGAAGAGTGGACATGGAGAGAACAGTGGACATGGGAAGAACAATTCACAAGGGAAAAACAATTCACAAGGGAAGAACAGTGGACATGGGAAGAACAGTGAACATAGGGAGAACAGTGGACATGGGGAGAACAATGGACATGGGAAGAACAATGGACATATGGAGAACAGTGTACAAGGGAAGAACAATGGACATATGGAGAACAGTGTACAAGGGAAGAACAATGGCCATGGGGAGAACAGTGGACAAGGGAAGAACAATGGCCAAGGGAAGAACAATGGACATGGGGAGAACAATGAACAAGGGAAGAACAATGGGAAGAACAATGGACAAGAGGAGAACAGTGGACAAGGGAAGAACAATGGACAAGGGAAGAACAGTGGACAAGGGAAGAACAATGGACAATGGGAGAACAGTGGACAAGGGAAGAACAATGGACAAGGGGAGAACAATGGACAAGGGAAGAACAGTGGACAAGGGAAGAACAATGGACAATGGGAGAACAATGGACAATGGATGAACAATGCACAAGAGGAGAACAACGGACAAGGGAAGAACAATGGACAAGGGGAGATCAATGGACAAGGGAAGAACAATGGACAAGGGGAGAACAGTGGACAAAGGAAGAACAGTGGACAAAGGAAGAACAGTGGACAAAGGAAGAACAATGGACAAGGGGAGAACAGTGGACAAGGGAAGAACAGTGGACAAGGGAAGAACAGTGGACAAGGGGAGAACAGTGGACAAGGGAAGAACAATGGACAAGGGAAGAACAATGGACAAGGGAGAACAGTGGACAAGGGGAGAACAGTGGACAAGGGAAGAACAGTGGACAAGGGAAGAACAGTGGACAAGGGAAGAACAATGGACAAGGGGACAACAGTGGACAAGGGAAGAACAATGGACAAGGGAAGAACAGTGGACAAGGGAAGAACAGTGGACAAGGGAAGAACAATGGACAAGGGGAGAACAGTGGGACAAGACAAAAGGGGACAAAAGTGGACAAAAAGGGAAGAACAATGGACAAGGGGAGAACAATGGACAAGGGAAGAACAGTGGGAAGAACAATGGACAAGGGGAGAACAGTGGACAAGGGAAGAACAATGGACATGGGGAGAACAGTGGACAATGGAAGAACAATGGACAAGGGAAGAACAGTGGACAAGTGACTGACTGACTGACTGAATTTAGTTTAACGCCCCTTTAGCAATATTCCAGCAATATCACGGCGGGGGACACCAGAAATGGGCTTCACACATTGTGCCAATGTGGGGAATCGAACCTGGGTCTTCGGCGTGGACAAGTGAAGAACAATGGACATGGGAAGAACAATGGACATGGGGGGAACAGTGGACATGAACTCACATGTGCGTGGGGAACACAATGAACATGATGAACACAATGAACACAGGAGATGATAACAAAACAGATAGCATCTTAGGTGTTTAATGTTGTTTTGACTAAGCAATGTTAAATTCTGCAACATGACTGTTACCATGGTTACAGTCCGGGACATTCTCACTGTTGGACGAGCAGTGGTCATGGTTTACAGTATATTCTGAAAAATGGTAACTATGGATACTGACTTTCCACACAGTATGTATTACCTCCCCTGACTTGTCATATTCGGGGGCTTTGGGCAAGATTTCTTCCCGGGCAAACTTCCGGGCAAGAGCCTGATACTCCTTCTGTTCATCCGAAAACTCTGAAATAAACATCACACACTTGAACCAGTCCAATGTGTCATCGGCAGACAGGTCGGTGGGGTAGTCTAGTGGTTAAAACGTTGGCTCATCACGCCAAAGACCCGGGTTTGATTCCCAACATGGGTACAAAGTGTGCAGCCCATTTCTGGTGTTCTGGTGATATTGCTGGAATATTGCTGAAAGTGGCATAAAACCATACTCTCACTCACTCACTTGAACCAGTCCAACTTGTCATCAGAACATAATGATAACACAAACATGATATAAGTCCACTTGTAAAACACTTAACTTCAGACACAATATATTCTCAAAGTGCTGCATGATTATAGTGTATACTGGGCAGACAAATGGACAACGGTAACATATTGATCACATAAAACAACATGTGTGGAATACTGACCACCAGATCCTGTTAGTTGTCATGACAACAAGACTTACTGAAGACCACTTCTTGACGAGATCTTAACAGAGTATACTATTTAGGAAATAAAGTTCGCTCTACCCCAATGTGTTTTGTAATAAAGTATAGTTTTGCCCTGAACTATTATAACATCAAAGCACTCGGACTACCGTCCTCATGCTTTAATTATAATAGTTCAGGGCAAAACTATACTTTATTACAAAACACATTGGGGTAGAGTGAACTTTACATCTTTTCTAAGATGCTAAATTTAATACTTTCTAAGGATAATTACGATTAATTTAAGGCAGAAAACAAACGACGGTGTCGGTGACCTAACTTAAGAATCCGCGCACAGGGCTAACTGGCACGCTGTTCTGTTGATGTGTCTGCCCCCCTACGTTAAGACGAACGTTACCAGAAAAAAAGAAATGATAACAGTTTGATGACAGTTTACGTTCGGATTAAATATCTTCTCTGAATTATTTTAATTACATCTGTCATTAACGTAAACCATATGGGGCAATATGAACGTCGCATTTCTACTACCAACGTAAGTTTAGATCAGTACATCCAGATGAAGCTGAGTAGTCAAGCGACATTCCACGATTGCATTGTGGGAATGTAAACATTACGAACGTTACCGTGTCGCTGAAAACTTGTGAGTCAAATTGACACATTTTAACCGTCGTAAAACATAAACCAGTGATGTTAGCTGCGTGAAGCAACTGCAAACCAAGAAACGGGATGCAACGGAGTAGTTTACTGCAGGAGGCCGTACAAGGCGATGACAACTGACATGCATCGTGACGTCGCTTACATTGTGACGTAATGTAAAATAATTTGATTATGAGGGGGCACACTAGAATGGCGCAGTGACGGGATAACGTCATTCAATTGTTACGTCATCAAAAAATATACCTTTATTGTCTGATAATGTTTGGTCTTCAGCAATCCATGCTTGTCACAGGAGACGACTACGTGACCGAGTGGTCCGGCTCGCGGATATGGCTGATGATGTCATTGCATCCTATTTGTCACAATGACTGACTGACTGAGTTTGGTTTTTACGCCGCTTTTAGCAATATTCCAGCTACATCACGGCAGGGAACACCAGAAATGGGCTTCACACATTGTACACATGTGGGGATTCGAACTCGGGTCTTCGGCGTGACGAGACAACGCTTTAACCACTAGGCTACCCCACCGCCCCTTGTCACAATGAATGCTCATGATGTCAATTACTGGATTGCCAGTTCCTAGCTTGATTATTTACAGACAGGTACAACATAGCGGGAATATTGCTGAGTGCAGCATTAAACCAGAAACAAATCAAACATAATATTAAGTGATTTATAACCTTGTTATCTAGAATGTCCTAAAATCTTGGACCTATTCAAGGTTGTGACCGCTTCATGATATAAAGGCATATCAGCTAGCCTTATTACCCCAAATTCGAGATAAAAATACATAGCCCTATCTTGAACCTTGGACTCTTTCCACCAACACTGACGTCACTATATCATATTGTTCCTTTGCCAGATTAACAGTTTTGAGAAGCGCACGTATATCTGCTATGTTTGCTCTGACATCAATGTAAACACACAACTCTCATCCAACCAAGTATGACCTTTTCTTTTAAACCAATTGTAATGGAGATATTCCTTAATAGGAGTAGTGAGTAGCAATATTCATATCACACCTTCACTGATGTCTCTACACTGGTTGCCTGTCAAATTCCGGATTGACTTCAAAATTCTATGTATCACTTTCAAAGCTCTACATGGACAAACACCTGAATACCTCTCCAGTCTTCTGTGTCAGTACACTCCAACCCGACCATTACGATCCCAGAATCACCAGCTACTTGTCATTCCTAAAGTTCGACTCTCATCCTATGGGAAAAGATCATTCCAACACGCAGCCGCCAGTCTCTGGAACAACTTGCCCACTCACATCAAGAATGCTGAATCTTTGGACACATTTAAATCGTCTCTAAAAACCCACTTTTTCCGTCTTGCCTATTACTAGACTTTCTATGTTCAATTGTCTCTCTGTAAATAGTTTTACCTATTTTCTTTTCTCCTATAGTATTGTAGCGCCATGAGCGGGTATTAGTACCTGGATGTAGCGCTATATAAATACCCACATTATTATTATTTATTATTAATATTCCAGCAATATCATGGCCGGCGACACTAGAAATGGACTTCACACATTTTACCCATGTGGGGCATTAAACCCGGGTCTTCAGCGTGAGGAGCATACGCTTTAACCACTAGGCTACCCCACCGACCCGGTGGGATAAGTCATGTCGTATTAACCTTGTAATGGGATATCCAGTGCATTAGTAATCAGCACCATTGAGCACCATATGTGGAAACTAGGCGCTATACAAATCCATTGTGTTTTGATATTATTTTCATTATGTACAATACCCAATTATTGTTAATGAGTCAGATAGACTGCTCCACCACCTGTTGCAACAGCAACTCCATCAGCCGCTGACAGAGACGTATGGTTGATTTATCCTCAGCTTCCACACAAGTTATGTTACTGTTATACTATGTTCATACTACAATTAAGGAATGCACTGGCAAGTTAGGCACCAAATCTGGTGGTTAGTGGTAGTGGTGGTCGGATTAATTGAAATAATCGAAGATTGGTCGCAGTGACTAAACGACCAAGCAATCGATCATGTTTTCTCATAATCAATACAAACAATTCTGGAACACCTTTTGCATCAACAAATTTTTTCACAAGGTTGGTTTTGTCTGTTACATTTCATGAGCACTACAAGCTCGGTCCAAGTCATGATTGAATTTATCTTAAAGACCCCAAGAAATTTATGTTCCTAACATACTAGTCATCCTTTAAAGATGTGAAATTTGTGGAAAAAACAACCAAAGAACAGTTTGTTCTTTATGTTTTTGTGCAAACAGAACTACAAGTTTGTTCGATTGATCATCAATTATGAGATTTTAACCAATTCCCAACACTAGTTAGTGGTTAAAACATAGGCTCATCACGCCACATGGGTACAATGTGTGTTAGGCAAATCTTAAAAGTCTGGTTGCAACTGTAAACAGAGCTACTTGGCCGCAATCAGACTCTTATAAAAGTGTCATGTCAGTTCACACGTGGGTTTTGTGTGGCAAGCTAGTACCCTTGAGTATATTTCTGCTAGAATAATGCTGCTCTTTTTCTACAAAACGAAACCATTCACCCCCTTCTGCTCACACAAAATACTTCTTACACTTTTTTATTGGATGCACTATTCTGTCATATACTTTGGCTAGTCACAGGTCATTGACCAAGGGTACACCTCCATTAGTTAGGCTCTGTTGTCATTAGCTCTGAGTAGTGGTGAGCATCCTTCCTGTGCTGTATTTTCTCACAATTTTCACCTTGTGACATGGACAGCGACAGTATTACAGGTGTTTTTTACCCTATTAGTTTCCAGAAAAAGGCCAGCTTGGATCACAAGGAACTAACTGGAATATTGGTTTCGATTCGCCCAGTTTTTCTATTCTCTGGTGAGGATATATACGAGGGAACTGATTAGTGCTGGGAATTGGTTGAAATCTCACAATTGATGATTGGTTCAATACCAACGACCAATCATCGAAAAAAATTGGTTAGTGTCATTTTTAGATTTTCCTATTCAGGTTGTAGTTGCAGATAAGTATAAAGAAAAACATTTGGTTCTCTGTTGTTTTTTTGTTTTATTTAGAAACTGCACAAATTACATTTGCAACTTTCACATCCAGTGGAAAATGATTCAGTTCCAAGATTCAAGAAATATTCAGTTATGACTTTTCAGAAAGTGAGGTGAGTTTTCTAAGAATTAAACACGTTTCCCAGCCCTGACAACGTCCTAGATATGTTCCATCATCAAGTATTTCAAACTCTATTACAGCGGTTCCAAAATCATTTCTGTTCGATTATGAGAAAATGTAATTAATTGCTTGGTCGTTTGGCCACTGCGACCAATCTTCGATTTTTTCATTAATCGGAACACCACTAGAACTGATATTCCCAGTATAATTCAATTTGATATACAGAACTTATCCACCCATACATCCATGGGGACATTTTGGCTGTGTTGGGGATATGATGTCCAGGTGCCCATTTTCGATCATACGTTACCAATTACCACAAAGATAACAGACATTACCAGGGTTTTACCTCGACTCACAAACATGGCGGTCTGTGGGACCCCTAATTATTTGTTTTAAGGGTCCTTGCACGCAATACGAGTGATTTCCGATGGCTTGTACTTGCCAGAGGTAGTCCGAAGTTTATTCACTGCAGGGACAAACTACATGGAATCCAATCTGGTATTTCTTGACAAACCATTCCGACACGGAATTCCTGAACTCCTCGGAAAGTATCTGAGTTTAGTCTAAATCTATGGCAGTATCTGGAATGATGGCCGATGACATACCACATACATGACAACTTACCAAACCCAAAAGTGGCCCCACTTGATTTTGTAGCTGTGGCAGCACTGGGAGCCGAGGACAGAGCACGAAGTCCGGCACGTGCCAGGGGCCCAAGTCGAGACATCTGTAACATACGTCTATTATCATTGCCAAGACGGTTCAATTCTAACGTCATAAGATTCTCGGACACTCAATGGAAGGAACTCTGCACTTCATATAGCCAACACTGGCTGAACTCTCTGAACATGTGATTGACATCATGAGCATGTATGACGACATTCAATCAATCAAGTCATCTACTGGAAAACAAGGACAAGTTGTGGACCAACCTGACAATTAGCCCTTATTAGCATGTATGAGTGCTGCCCACTGGCGCTTGCCATTGTTAGCGAAGTGGCTCCAGGTTGTCCGCGATCAAGTGTAGTGTGATGGGTGAAGCAAAGCAAGGCATGTGCAGCTAGTGCGGAATCAATTTCATCGTCATGCAATGCACATGCACTAGCCTACATCTGCTTTACCTTTCACAAACCAAATTGGTTTGATCATGGCTATGCAACGCCTACTTCTCGTCAACGCATTCTCTGCGCCGGTCCAACTTATCCTTGTTTGTCAGTAGTCTCACCCCTCCATATCAGAAGAAAATGAAAGGGACCAATTCTACCCCTAATCCCTACATAAGACTACCTGAGACTGCATATGACCAACATATCAAAGTTGTACATATGCCTGATTAACATAAAACAAACACTGCCAAGCTGAACCTTAATGGCAAGTGACAATTTAAAGGCACAATGTCACACCACACTTCTCTAAAAATACATTTCTATCAATAACTCTAACTATCAGCCCTCAGGGAAGATATCGTTTAAGTTATTCTGAAAACAAATTACGTATTCAGATTACAATATTAAATTAAAAAATTTGAATGAATTCATGCAATGTTGCACTAAATCAACTCTCTCGTGCCCTCTACCTGCCGAACATTATTTCAAGCGGACCCCATAGAGTTATGTCCCTTGGAGCGCTCTTTACAAATATCCTACACACAACTTGTGATTGAAAGCAGTTTGGCAAACATCGACAACAGTTTTTGATGTTCAGAGCAATTGTTTACAGTTCAGATACATGCAAGTGTTCTCCGTTTGGAAACTGTTCGCCTAGAAGTTTCAATTAATGATTTCAGGCAAGTCGTAAGGGATAATAAGTCTATAATTGGATCAATAGGAAGCTTAAGTGAGTGCATATGCACCTAATATGTAAAACAGACCACAATATTATCCAAAATGTGTGACATTATGCCTTTTTACCTGAAATGTCTGGATAAACCTTAAAACTCAAGCTTAATTAAATACAACAACAAGCGACCTTTAACAAGGTGCATCATCAGCGCATACACAATTTCAATATTTGAAACATAAATCCATTTGTCCTCCATTGTTTTTACACAATGCTGGGTTATGAGGAAATCCGCAACATGGCGACATTTTGACTGTTGACATTGTATGACACCTAATTTGTGACAGTAAAAAGATTTCACTTTAAGCACTGAAGTAACTAACACAAAAAGAGTCTAATTCCACTACGGTATTTCCAACAATGGTTTCTGTAATATTATGTTGTAAACTGATTATAAGTATAATACCAGTACCTACTAATTGACATGGTTCAGACAACAGCACAGTTCAGCTACCATTAACAGTAATGCTCTTACTTAGCATAATCCGATCAAACTACACCCGCCTGGAAACACCAGCTGTTGTGTGAAATACAAACTAACAGTGCACAACACTCATCTAGACCTGCTCACATGTGGATGTTTTCAGCTTTTATTGAAATATCAAACTCAAACAAAACTCTTCCGATTTCATGCAATGATTTCATAATTGTAAACCCAAAGTTACTGTGTTCTTTAATCTGATTGGTTGAAAAACATGATCAAATGGTATTCGATTCCCGGAAATTGCAAGACTATTCACTGCGTATTGAAATGTACAAATTGACACGTACATAGTGACGTCATTCAAATCATACTGTAACGTAAAGTCCGAATGACGTCACAAATGAGGAGTTCCAGATGCTACCATGGGAACCAGCCGAAACAGCCAGTTGATGACACTTCACTGATGTACCCGTACTCGATATCAATGAGCGCAGACAGTAAAACCCATGTGGGCCTTTTGGTTTACTTTCGTGTTTACAATGTTGATAAACATGTGTTGGCAAATTTCCGGGTGTTATTGAGTATTTGAAGCACAGGAATTCATTTGGAACCGACGGCTTGGATTTCACCGAAAACAGAGAACATTGTAAAGGGGAAGACTGCTAAAATCTTCCCTTTACATTTCTACTTTCAATCACTTTAGATTTCTGCTTTCAATATTATTTCAAAGTACAATGACAAATTCCTCAGAATTATGGAAAATATAAACTTTGATAAAAATACCAGATTGGAACCAAAATCAAATTTACCAACTACCTGCTGAATGTTTGAAATTAAGGAATGTCCAGGGTGCCCTGCCACTTTAGGAATATTCCTGCAATATCATGGCGGAGGACACCAGAAATGGGCTTCACACATTGTACCCATGAGGGGAATTGAAACTTGGTCTTCGGAGTGATGTAAGTGCCTTATGCACTTGGCTAGCAACTGCCCACCTGGAGAGTTTAAACCAAGGTTGCTAAAATATTTATATTGTAACATTAGACATTACAATTAATACTAACACTTGATTACAAGGACCCTTTGAATTAACCTTATGAGGCCATCGTGACAAGATGCTGTTTCGACCCGCTCCCCTCAAAACAGCCAAGGCTATTAATTCAAGAGTAGAAAGCATCAAAACATTGCCTTGCAGAGATATTATCTGACATAGTTCATCTTGCTCACAGTGTTTATGTTTGTTTGGGTTCCCTGACTACAGCAAAGCCTGGGCAGCTTACTTGTAGGCCTTAGATCATGGATGGTGATTTGATTGGTACGGAGAGATGGAGTGCAGTCATTCTCATGCAAAAAATGGACTTGGTACACAGCAAACCCATAGCTAGAACAAGTATATATGGAAAACAACTTCTTTTATTGTATAGCATGACATTTCGATACAGGTTCTTGTACCTTTTTTCACTTGAAAACAATAGAAGAACCTGTATCGAAACGTCGTGCTATACAATAAAAGAAGTTATCATCAATATATACTTGTTCTATCGGACTTCCAACTTCTAAAATAGTAAAAATGCCACTCAAAGAAGAAACCCATAGAGTAAAGGAGAGTGGAACCTCAAAACAGAACTGGGTGGACTAGTCATGTGCCACTGTGGCTGAAGGGGTCGGGTGCTACATATGTGCACACAGAAACGTACCCTAAATTAAGTGCAGTTTTCAAGAACGGAACTGTCCTCCTGTTATTGATGCATTTGTTTGGGTTATGTAACTGAAACGAGCATACGCAGTAACGAATATTTCGCGATGCACAATTCGCCAGTTAAACGGGAACAACTGCATATGAATTCGGTTTGGATTGCGGAATATGTGCTCGTTCCCGTTTAGGATACCTGGGGTACATATCTGTAGTATCTGTGCCGACAACGACCCCTTCAACGACAGTGTCGACACTGAGATGTGAAACTGGCCGGGGTGAAGTCGAGAAGACACATTTCAAAACTTGCACCCCACGCAAGTTTAATGGAAGTGAAAAAAGATAAAGGATGTGAAGGCGCACAATACAATCAAAGTGTAAGTCAATTAACGAGCTGACAAGTGAGTTCCGACAGAATAACTGCTGAGAAAACCACGCGATACCAACCTGCTGCATGACGGCCGCCATTGTTGAGGTCAGAGGTCAGGCAATGTCGTTGTATAGCTGTTGTACGTACATAAAGGATTTGCTAAAGTATAGGCACACCAAAACGTTTACAGTGTAGTTATATTGTAACCTGACAAATGTTGCAATTATTTATATTTATACTTACATCAATATCAGCGGGTGAAATGAATTATACCAGACAAATGATGAAGAATTGTAAGGCTCCTTTACTTGTCCTTTATATACTCACTTACCTTATACTGCGGGTCAAAGTCCGGTCAACTTGCCGCTCTGTTTAGGATTGATCTCATAAACAAGTATAAGCAATCACAAAGCATCATTACGATTGACCGGTTACAGCTCACCTAGAAAACAGTGTAAAGTAATAACTTATTGCGAGCTATTTTGTTTTTGCTGTTTGTTTATTTTCAAATGATACGATATTGTTATAATTTTATTTGTTTACAACTGATTAAACTGACAATTGGAGCCTGTACATAGAATAGATACTTAATTATGGATTTGTCTGTATTGTGGTTGTGTTTCAAGTAGGTGACAGAACTTTGTCTCTTCACTACTGCATATACCAATGGTTGCGCAGTTTCCATATATCATGGTGACAGCTGCTTCTGTCATGGGGAGTCGCTCAACAATATATACAGGTTCCCAACTTTTTGAGTATATATAATTTTGATATAAACAAACAATTCCTTTTAAATTGAAAAGGAGCCCCTTTAAGATGGGAGAGTCCTGATCATGAGGACTTCCTTCATCTAGGGCTTCGGCACCGCAGAAAGGGCTGGACAGAAAGGAAAATAATGCGGCTCAGAGACTGTGAGACGGACTGACAGGACCGAGAGCACGGTACATCGTGCGCAACGTTTACTATGGGTCCGCAGACACGCCAGATTTATCTGTGGATCAGGATGGTTTATACCCGGACTGTCGACAACAAATAATCCGTCCAAATTACTTGTCGACAGTCCGCGGAAAGGGAGATGATGTTCTAGAGAAGTGTCTTCACGCCCAGTGTTCTCGAAATTAAAAAACTAATTAAAACAGAGTGATATATATAGAAGGGTTATCTCCCGATTGACAGACACCCATTTGACAGACACCCAATTGACAGACACTGAAGTAGAAGGTTAATTAGGGTAACACAAACGGGTATAATGGAACAGTCCACCGTCTAGTGAGTAGAGCAGGGTTTGTTACTGAGATGTTTGATTGTGGGTAAATAGAACTTTGTTGTGATTAAATAATAAATTATTTCTCTTCTCAAAATTGATTTCACTATCAATTACTATCGAATATAAAACAGCTTTGTCACTGAGAGGTTTGATTGTGTTATTGATAGAAAAGACCCCTCCCAATAATAGCATGTACAACAGAAGTTAATGGTGAAAACGTTTTGTTATTCAAAATAAATCGTAATTAAGTGCACTCGTCATATATCTTAATATTGTGTGCAAAACATGTAACTTCTTTATTCCATATGAATAATATTTAGGTTCACATTTGTCTTTATTTGATTTATATGATACAACAGTATCGCAATTTCTAATAGCTAAGCTAATGTTTTCAATATGATGATGCCGACTCCCGTTAGACTAGAAGGTTAAACCGAAATGTTTATGAAAATAAACTGTTTTTATATCGCAGCAATAAAAATTCAAATTACTGTCTTTTCGTCCATCTTTCAAAATAAATAATATGGTTTCAGTTTGTTCCTGTGTTTTTATTTGGACTATTCCATTATAATGTGTAGGTAACAGGTAGTAGATAATCTGTTCACTGAACAGTAAATATTGTTGTTTTAAGGTGTCTGCGAACTGGCTGTCTCCGTAATGGGAGGACACCTATAGAAGACAATATATTCATTTAGTCAATATAACAACATGTATGTATCATATGTCACACAATATAACGTATTTGTTTATATATTTCAGAAATCTCACACAATATATATATATTTGTGTGTGTGTGTGTGTGTGTGTGTGTGTGTGTGTGTGTGTGTGTGTGTGTATTATAGAAATAAGTGATTTCAGCATGTGTATAAGCAACAAATATGTAAAAGATGAGTCCAAATATTTCTTCTTGCCAAAACTCCTTTATATCTGCACTAAAGTAATCTGTAATGTTCAGACAAGATGAAGCAACTCTGACACATGGTCTGTGTAGTTCAAGTCAGTAAGTCTGTTGGCAAGGACCGAATCGTAGCGTCCATGCTTAAGGGACGAGTCAGATGGACGCCGGATTGGAAAGCATTTTGTGACAAAGGTCGATCTCAATTGTCGTTGTATCAATAATTAAAATTATGCTAATGGCACATATATACTCACCAAAAAGTTAAGGACCATCCTAATTTTCATATAAAGTATTTAATAGTTCATACAATGTATTATGATCCATATAACACTTAACTATTGAATATTGGGTCGTCCTTAACTTTTTTGGTTGAGTATATATACTCTGCATGCAAAACCCCGCTTCGAGTCATACTTGAGATCAACACTGTCTCGAGGGCGTGCCACTTGACTGAGGACAGATCTATCGATATGATATTCTTGTGGACAGATATACTGAACGGGCCTATATAGCACATTAGGTAAGGCACACAAGTAGTATATACACTGGAGGTACGAGATCAAGTCCAACATTAAGACTCTGTAAAGCTTCATTTATGAAATAAAGCTTTTGTCAGGCCCTTATCTCTCTCCGCTATTGTATATACCTGGTTTGAACCCCCAGTTAACTTCCTGGTCACGATGACCGCGAACCAACACTTTCCTGATCACGTGACACTATTGTGATCGCCCTATATCATGTTGACCTCGACGAAACAGTTTAATGTGAATCGCCTATGAGCTCTTTGGTCTTCCTGATGAAGGCTTGCCGGGCTTGTTGTATGCCTTGTTCTATGTACTTTTATTTCTCGGCTTCGGTGACGGCAGTCTTACGAGACTTGGACCGAATCTCTTGTTTCATTTTGTGATATTTTGTGAGTTCAGAGAAGACCAAACGAAACTCCTCCTCCGAGACCTTGTTGTCTGTGAGGGCCATGGAGATATGGTCGCTTAACGTGTTCAGCTTTGCTTCAGCTAGAACCCTGATCTCGTCATGCTTCAACGCTTTACGATGCAGTCTGCGGGACGCTGCCCTTGTTTCGCGGTCTTGTTCTAGTTGGCGTTTTATGTCGCATAACTGCCTCAAGCGGAACCCATCTACAGTTTCCAGTGTATTCGCTACTTCCTCTACGACTGGGTACAGCCGCATCCTGTGCGTATAATAATTACTACAAGATATTTTATATTTGATCTTCATTTAATAGTCGGTCAGTGAGGGGTCCGAGCTCAGTTGTATGACGATACGACAAGGGGAGGACAAAAATGGATATGAATCTGACAAATCTATTGTCAACCCAGGTAAAAGGCGCAAGGATGCAACCCCCCATTCAGGATCAACACCGTCGGCTTTGAAAAAGACTTCTATGATGAGGTTGGAGCCTGGGGACATCATCATAGAATATGGTAGGCCTGGGTATAAGTTAAATGATAATTGTGTAACCCTGGGTGTATCTAACATGTAGCCCGGGCGATGTGGTGTTTGGGAAACTCTTGTTCTCTGCTGATCCACGGTGAAACCCCCGAGTAAGATACCGTTATTCTTAATTTCGGTGATATGACCATCCTTATCAAAAGAGATATAAGGTGCGGTGAGGGTCGACAGCATGTGGGCCGCCATACTCGAGAGTGGGCTGATTATTACACTACGCCTTCACGCCGGGACGTAGTCCACGAGCAGGGTTCCGTTGTTCACGACTTTGTTAAGGTAGTTGCCTTTATTCTCCGTGAACACGTAGCGGGAAATGAGACTAATGTTGAGAAACCAGTCGACTTGAGCGGGTAACAACACCCACTTGTCATCGTCGGTGAAGACGAGTGTATACTGCATGTTTCTAACAACGGCCGTGCTCTCGACGTCTTCTAAGTCGAACAGTTTGCCTCCGAACGATGGGTATACCAACCATCTATCATCACTGATGCGGACTAGTTCGAACCGAGTGTTGAGGGCCACTCCTGATGTATCTACTATATCACCTAGGGTTCTACTGAAGGAGGGGACTTCAACGCGTTTGTAAATACTGTTTTTAAGCTGCAACGCGTATAGTTTACCATCTACTCTGGGGTCGTCGAATCCGCGTGTGTCCCCGAGGTCGGAGATCCCCACATTGACGCATTGTTTCAACTTCATTCCGGGACCTTGTGCGCTAGTCATTTTATGTGCAGCGTTATGCTGAGGTATCCTATATTCACAGGATTATGCTTTATATCTAACACTGATATTACCAACTCAGGGATGGTGCCCAGAGTTAACCTCTTGTACTGCCGCGGTGAAAACGACTCGGTCTGCCGTCGTTGTACTTCTCCTTTTTCACCGGTACGGCTCTCAGTATCGTGGAAGGGTGGCCACCTTGAATGTTGTCCGTTGTGCTCAACTGACCGAGATGAATGCACAGCTCTCGGTACTGAACTAGGTCGGGTAACTTCGTGCCTGTGACGGTAGTTGTGGGTTTTATCTCGTCCGGCGACATCCCGAGTGTCCTCACCAATGGTCGTCCGAGCCTCAAGGGGTCTATTCGGTTGTTGGTTAACACCACTGTGCCGTTTGAGTCGTTCATCTCGAGTTCGGCTCCCAAGGGTTTGAAGACCTCATCGCTTAGCGAGCACACACTGTAGTAGCCGTCGATTATCTGGTTGCGGGCACCACTGAAGAACAGCTTATTGTTGCTGGCGTTGATGTTGGTCCATCGCGGCAGGTAGGTGATATCGCAGAGTGCGACTTCGAGTTGGCCCGACATATTATCGATCGCGTGCATCAGCTGAACAGACTCACCGCTCGTTATTCCTGGAAGTGTTACGTACATGTTAGAGTATATATACCTATTATATAATACTTTAAAAATGTACAAACCGGGAGTGTTTTACCCTAAACTGGACATAGATTTCCCACACATGAAGATCGTGGTCGCGGCTGGGTTGTATTTTGAAGCCCAG